CTGGGTCACAATATATAGTAATGACTTACATGACAGAAGTGAATATACTATAGCCAAGTTTGCAAGTGACAAAATATGTGGAAGTGTCAAGGATGGTATTGAGTGATAAGAGCAGGTTAAATGAGCAGCTGGAATATAATTTGGGAAATGTGAGGTTATGCACTCAGGTGGGAGTCCACAGGAGCTGAATATTATTTAAATGGAAAAAGATTGCAGGAAGCTGCAGTACCAAAGGATTGGGGGGGGGGGGGGGGGGGGGCAGGGGTGGGGTGCTGCTGCATTAATCCCAAAAAGCTAGCATCAAAGGTAATAGAGAAGGTAAATGGAATTGAGTATAAAAGTTGGGAGCTGAACCTATACAGATTGCACCTCAAATATTGTGAGCAGTTTTAGTTGCCCTATCCAAGGGAAAATATACTGACGTTAGAGTCAGTCCAGAGAAGGTTCGTGGGATTGATTCTGGGTATGGAGGGATTTCCTTAACAAGCAGAAGTTAAGTAGGTTCAGCATATACTCATTGAAATTCATAAGAATGAGAGGCAGCTTTATTGAAATGTAAAATGATTCATAGAGGGTTTGACAGAGATGTGGAAAGGTTGTTTCCCCTTGTGAGAGTGTCCAGGACCAGAAGGCATCATCTCAGAAATAAGGACCCAATTAAGACAGTGAAAAGGAGAAATCCCTTCTTCAGAAAACAAGTACCTAACTTTGGCTGAGGTGTTTTGCTTCACTGGTTCTTACAGTTTGACGGTTAAGGCACAAATGAACCAGCTGATTGTCTTTCCATAAATTCAAGTACTGCCTAATTTGCATGTTTCTAAGCCCTGGTAACTGTTAGCTCTGCAAAATCCAAGTTGTTGTGCCAACCACACAAGGACAAAAGAGTTAACGCAATCACCGGACCCGAAACGTTAACTCTGATTATTTTCTTCACGTGCCAGACCTGCTGAGCTTTTCCAGCAACTTCAGTTTTTGTTCCTGATTGACAGCATCCGCAGCTATTTCGGTTTTTATTGAGTAATAAGATCGCATGGTCAGGAAGTTGAGATCACATTCAGAGTAAGCCGAAGTGAGTATATAGTTCAGGGAATTTGGAGGCAGCATGGGAATTCAGAGCAGAGAGGAAGAGGTGCCTTTTTCTTGCCTTGCTTTTTTTGGGCTTAGACAGTGGAGTAGCAAAGGCAGGAGTTTCTGGAAGTAATTCAGGAGACACAGCAGAAATTTATAAAAGGTTTATTTTAAAAACAAGATAAATTGAAACCCAGGATCACCCCGCACAAAAGAGTGACATCACAGGTAAACGGTAAGGTCATTGGTTGGTGATTGTCAAATTATTAGCTATGTATTATAGGTCACTTCCAGTAAATAGGGGAAATATTTACAGGTTACAAACTAAAAGAGCAGTAGGAAGTTCAAGTCCCAAAGGTTGTGTTGCTTGCCTGTGTCTGGGTTCAGGATATCTCATCTGGCCTACAGAGGAACTTGGAGTGGAAGGGAAAAGATCCAGTTGTCATGGTCCACGTGGGTATCAACTGAAAAGGTAAAGAGGAAAGAGGTTCTGCTGAGGGAATATGAGCTGCTATGGGCTAAATTAAAAAGTAGAACCAGAATGGTAAACGTGTGGCACAAAGTTTGATGTGGGAGAAACAGGTTCAAATTCATGGGGCATTGGCACCAGAACTGGGGAAAGAGGCAGCTGTTCCAATGGGACAGACTCCACCTGAATCATACTGGACTGGAGTCCTGGTGAATCACAACTAGGCGGTGGATAGGGTTTTAAATTAAATAGCAGGGAGGGGCATGGAAAATTAAGAAAGAAGTTAAAGGGGGGGGCAGGGGAAGGTGGAAGAGAGGTGGTGGTGTTTTGGCAGAGATTATTAAAGTTTCCAGAACAAGTAAAAGGGCAGAGAGCATGGAAAAGGTCAGGAATTCAATTCCAGGCACAGCAGATAAGGGGATAGCTATGAGAAGGGGGGCAGTCAATGCAGGACTGAGGATGTTGTACTTAAATGCACACAGTGTACAAAACAAGGTAAATGAGCTTGTAGCACAGATTGAAATTAGCAGGTACGATGTGGGTATTACAGAGATGTGCTGTAAGGGGATCAGGGCTGCGAACTAAATAACTACATGTCCTGTTGAAAGCATAGGCAGATGTGCAGAGCAGGCAAAGTTGCCTTGTTAGTAAGAAATGAAATTAAATCCATAGCAAGAAGTGGTATAAAGTTGAAAGGCGTAGAATCTGTGCATAGAGATGAGGACCTGCAAGATTAATAAAAGACCCTGATAGGAGTTATGCACAGGCCTCCTCGCAATAGTCAGGATGTGTAGCACGTATATGGAATGAACTGCCAGCGGAAGTGGTAGATGCAGGTAAAGTTACAACATTTAAAAGACATTTAAACACATACATGCGTAGGAATGCTTTCGAGGGATCTGGGCCAAACACAGGCAAATGGGACTAGCTTAGTTTGGGAAACTTGGTCAGCATAGATGAGTTGCACGGAAGGGTCTGCTTCCATGATGTATGACTCTATAAATCACAAGATAGAAAAGGCATGTAAGAAAGGCATTATTACGATAATCACAGGGGACTTCAAATATGCAGGTGGACTGCGAAAATCAGGTTGGTAGCAGATCTCAAGAAAAGGATCTTGAAACGTCTACAAGATGGTTTTTGGAGTAGCTGGTGGTAGAGCCCACTAGGGAACAAGCAACTCTGGATTTGGTGATGTATAATGAGGCAGACTTGATTAGGGAGGTGAAGGTAAAGGAACCCCTGGGGGACAGTAATGATAATATGATAGAATTCATACTGCAGGTGGAGAAGGTGAAACAGGAATCTGATGTAATGGTATTATAATTGAGTAAAAGTAACTACAAAGACATGAGGGAGGAGCTGGCCAAAGCTGATTGGAAGGGAAGACAGTGGAGTAGCAAAGGCAGGAGTTTCTGGAAGTAATTCAGGAGACACAGCAGAAATTTGTCCCAAGGAAGAAACAACATACTAAGGGGAAGATGATGCAACTATAGCTGACAGGATGTCAAGGACAGCATAAAAGCAAAGGGTATGGAAGGTCTGAGTTATAAAGGAAGGCTGGATAGGCTGGGACTTTTTTCACTGGAGCGTAGGAGGTTAAGCGGAGACCTTATATAAGTTTATAAAATAATGAGGGGTATAGATAGAGTTAATGGTACTCATCTTTTCTCTAGGATGGGGATTTCAAGACTCGGGGTCACATTTTTAAAGTGAGATTTTAAAAAGACATGAGCGGCAAATTTTCTTTACACGGAGGGTGGTTTGTGTATGGAAGAACTACCTGAGGAAGTGGTGGATGTGGGTACAGTTATAGTGTTTAAAAAAATTTGGATAAGTACATGAATAGGAAAGGTTTGAAGGGATATGGACCAGGAGCAGGCCGGTGGGACTAATTTAGTTTAGGATTATGTTCAGCGTGGACTGATTGGACCACAAAGGGTCTGTTTCCATACCTTATGACTGTAGCTTTCCACTAATCTTCACCATATTGTATGCTTTTTATAGAGTCCAAAGGATTGGAAAGCCTTTAAAAACCAACAGGGGATAACTAAAAAAAGTAATAAGGGGGAGGCGAAGATTAAATGAGGGTAAGCTAGCAAGTAATATAAAAAGAAGATTGGAAGAGTTATTTTTAGGTATGTAAAAGATGAGAGAGGCAAGAGTGCTGAAAAATGAGGCTGGAGTAGTAGTAACAAGAAACAAAGAAATGGTGGAGGACCTGAATAGGAACTTTGCAGCAGTTTTCACACTGCAAGAGACCAGCAGCATACCAAAACATCAGGAAATTCAGGGGGAAGAGTTACATATAGTGGCCATCACTGAGAAGGTGCTGGGGAAGCTGAAAGGCCTGAAGGTGGATAAGTATCCCGAACCACATGGATTACACCCCAGAGGTCTGAAGGAAATGGCTGAGAAGATTGTGGAGACATTGGTGGTGATCTTCCAGGACTGGCTGGAGTCAGAAGAAAACTATAAGCTGGATAGCCTGACCTTGGACAGGCTAGGAGCATGGGCAAACAAGTGGTAGATGGAATACACTATGGGAAAATGTGAGGTTATGCACTTTGATAGTAGGAATAGAGAAGTAAACCATCTTCTAAGTGGTGAAAGGCTTCAGAAATCTGAAGCACAAAGGGACTTGGGAATCCTAGTTCAGGATTCTCAGGAAAATACAACGTTAGCATTCATTTCAAGACGGCTAGAATACAAGGGCAGAGATGTACTGCTGAGGCTGTATAAGGCTCTGGTCAGACTGTATTTGGAATTTGAGGTAGTTTTGGGCCCAGTAACTAAGGGAGGACATGCTGATGTTGGAGGGGGTTCAGTCAAGGTACAGAGAATTATCCCAGAGAAGGGCTCGGCATATGAGGAGCAGTTGAGGACTCTGGGTCTATACTTGATGATGGATAAGGGACGATCTTATTGAAATGTATAGAAAACTGAGAGGCGGAGATGTTTCAACTAGTAGCAGAGACAAGCTCTCTAGGGCGTAGCCTCAGAGTGAAGCACCAATCCTTTAGAACTGAGATGAGGAATTTCTTCAGAGGATGGTGAATCTTTGTGACCCACTGCCCCAGAAGGCAGTGGAGGCCTTCAGGTGTCTTTAAGACAGAAACAGACAGGTTTGGGGATCAAAGGTATTGGGTAGGAGAATGGGGTTGAGAAACATATCAACCATGATCAAATGGCAGAGCAGATTCAAGGGGCTGAATGGCCTAATTATGCTCCTTGTCATTTGGTCTAATTTACTTCCACAACTAAGCTCAATTCCTGCATTCTAAAAGATGGATTATCAGGGCTTAGGAGTTTGCAGATAGCACAGTTGTTGTAGTTTGGACAGTTCTGGTGTTGCAGGGAACCCTTTCTACATGTTACTTATTGTAAACCTCAGAATGTTAACAATCTAATATAGAACATCAGAAACATTCATCATATACAACACAGACCCAGAGGCCACTAATCACAAACATGATTTCTTTAATTGAATCAGCATGATAGGTATACAAAAAAAATTGATGATTTCTAAAGTAATTCAACTGTTCATCATTTCCTCACTAATCACTTCAGTATGTATGATACAAATTCAATTAATTAATACAGTTAAATGTTCCCTGCTTAGGAGCAGTGGAAACTTTCCCCAAACATAATTCCTCTTTTGCTGTTAAGGAACACACACTTGCTTGTTTAGTGCAATCCTGTGTTCAGTGGAATTTTCCTGTTTTGAAAAAAAATTGTCTCTGCAATTCCCTTTAAGAAAAGGAAACACAGTAAGGTGTTTTGCTCAGGAGCTTCTTCCATTCCCTGTTGCTCTTCACCTCCAACCCGACCCTAATCCTGCTACAGGCAGGCAGGCCGTTTTGTTTTAAGGGGGGGTGCCTCCTTGCTTGGCCTTTCTGCTCCAGTACTTCTGGTAGGCATCCTCAAACAAATGCTTGCAGGCAATCTTTGCGTTGAGCTTGCTGCAGATAAGGAAGGAACCAGCCATCTTGCGGTGGAGAGAGTAGGTCTCCTCAGGAGGAGGAACTAGTCTATGCTGCAGCATGATGGGGATCAGACTATGGATCCGCTTGGTGGTATTCTGATGTCCAAAGTCAAAGGGCTCTGTTGATGAAAAAGCTTCGCCAAGGATCATCACTGCATTCACATGGGCATCTTGCATAACCTCAAATAAAAAAAGATGAATAATTTCTTAAACAGATCCTTTGCAGCCTTAATCCTAACAATCTGATTAATTGCACATAAAAGTCTTCATGGTGCAGCTGTCATTTTAATGATTATTTTGAATCACAGAATCAGTGCATCACATTAGGCAGCCATTTGGCCTGTCACATCTATTGCTGGCTCTCTGAAGAAGCATTTCATCTCCTGTTACTGCCTCCTCCCCACAGTTTTACACATTCTTCCTTTTCAGATGATAAACCAGTTTCCCCTTGAAATGGCCAGACTAAACCCGCCCCATACCACTGTCAGGCAGCGCATGACCAGATCCTAACTCACTGCATGTAAACATTTATCTTCCTGACTCCATTGCTTCTTTTACTGGTCACTTTAAATCTGAGCTCTAACTTTTTGATCTTTCCACTAATGGGAACTGCTGGAAAAGCTCAGCAGGTCTGGCAGCAGCTGTGAAGGAAAAAACAGAGTTAACGTTTCGGGTTC